ACTACACATATGGGCCAAAACTATGTTTTTGTGGAAATTGAATCAATAAATTTGGGTAGTGCTACAACTTTTCACTGAAAGGAGATATAGCTTCTTCTTTGCAAACGATATTGTCCATGTATATACGTGTGCAGATGAATTTGTTATATGGAAAATAATGATTTTCGATAAAAATTCAATATCTTCAGTGAAGAAAAGAAATAACTGAAATCATGTTTTTAAATTAAATTAGCAACTAATCTAAATTCAAGTAAAATTGGTATAAAAAAGTAGATAATTTCATTTCATTTCATATGACACCATTGGTTCAAGGGTTAAAAAACACATGTACAAAATACTATTGTCCGTCAAAAGGGCTGCTTTTTTGGACCCCCCCCCCCCCCCCCACGAGTTAGGTGCGTTCGCTACAATTTTTTGTTTAAACCTTTGAAATATTGCGTTTTATGATTAAATCTTTAGAATAAACCAGCTGTACTTAATTAGTTTGTGTGGTAATGGAAGGCAAATCGAAAACTAAGCATGATTTTGTTTTTTGGCCTTCGCTTAATATTTATGTTCGGTTTTTTTGTACTGTCCCATCCAATGTCCATTTTTAAAAACTTAGATTCATTTACGAAAAATATTGAATATCAGTAAAAAAAAAGTTTTGATTACCTCCATTGTGTTGTGACTAATGTAAATCTGCAGTAGTAGTTAGGATCTTTCGTTGACGTAATGATTGTGAATTTGAAGGAAATAACGGTGTTTGTTGTAGAAACTGATGATTACCACAGATGTTAAAGAGATAGTTGAGTTCTGTTTTCAGACCGCAAATGCCTTCAAAGTGCATGGTTATTGCTCTTATTCTTATCTATGACATTTTTAGTGCCCTTTTAGAACCTAAAATTGCTATGAAGGTTAGTTTAGACCCCAAAATTTGTAAAAGTTAGCCAATATGATCATTATAAAATGGTGGTACACAAGTAATAGAAATCGTTATATTTATAGATATTTCAGCCGTCTCTGAACCGATTTTGATCAAACATAGATGATTTTGTCATTTAAATTGTGTGTTCTTTCAAATTTGACACTCAGTTTGTCATTATCTCACAAAAGAAAATATTTTGTGTAGCGCCCTGTGCAACAGAACTCAACTATCCCTTTAATTAACGTTCGTTATATTTTGAATTGCCCTCATCATTGAAATATCCTTTTCAGGATGCAGGTTTGTGTAGCAAATGCACTCGTCGACTGACTGATTTATATTGTAAATAAAGAGCAAATTTCATTAAAGTAATTATATATTATTATAATAACATAGAATATCTATCTATTTTCATATTTCATGTAAAACCGCTTTTTTTTTTTGGTATCTATTTTAACCACAACAAAGGCTGACAGTTCTTTCTAAGTGCTGCATATTGCATAATAATGTTTAATGTATTTGAAAATGATTAAACAATATATACAAAGTCACTAGCCTTTTCAAGCTGCTTGTAATTAAACTAAAAAGGTATGCTTATTTTTGGTAAAGTATATGTTAGATACATTTCTAGTAAAAGCTGATTCCACGTGGAATATATAGTCTTCGAATTTACACTAATCATGATTGTAATTATTAAAAAATTACACTATCTTGTTTCTCTCACTTAATGCTTTCAATAAAGGGTTGACTTCCCCTTTAAGGTTCATTTTCCTATGTATCTCTGTATAATCGTTGGATGGAAGGAAGAGATTTTATTTCTCTCTGTATTATTTGTATAACTTTATTGGTTTATGACTGCCGATTTTTTTTTTCGGTGGATGATTTTATAATAGCGATACGCACAGATCGTGGAAATATTGTGAGAGTATGGGAAAGCGTGTGTTTGTTTATTCATGGGAGTGAAAAGACGAGCCCCTGAAAACTGGCGAAATGATGGGAGGGGGGCTTGGGGTAGATGTCCTCCAACGGTGTTTATTTCTAATTCGATGCTAATGCTAAAATTCCGGGATTTTCCGGGATTCTTTCTCAATTTCTGTTTATAAATTATTGTGTTTTTTTCTTCAAATTTACAGCCATGCAAAAAATATGCTTATTTAGATGCCTTCATGTCCGGACCTGCTGAACAGTTGGGCTCGAGGGCTTGAGCCCCCCCCCCCCCCCCCACTTTTTGGAAAAAGATTGTTAAAGAGAAGAAAAAAAAGGAAATAGAGAAAGAAAGAATGAGTGGCCTGCCAGTGTCACAAATGAGGTTTCAAAATATGCTCGGGGGCTCCATCCCCTGGGCCCACCAAGGGCCCTAAGGAGAGACCCTGGATGCTCATCTGGTATTAATGATATAGCTTAAACCCTCTGGACCCCACCAACCCTGGATACTCTGACCGTAATAAATTGTCTAAAAAGGGCATCTGACTTCATGGGGCTCAGTCCCCTTGACCCCACTAGGAGCCCTAAGACGGGCTCCTGAATGCTCATCTGACCATAATTCAATGCCTAAAACCCCTGAGCCTCCGGGGGCTCTGCCCATTGACCCCCGCCAGGGCAAAGCTCCTGGACCTCACGCCAATGTACGCTACGCTCTACCTGATAGTTAACACTCCACAGGCCAAGTCCACTCCAAAAATAACTTACTTTCAATAGAAGCAGACAAATCAGACAAACTAATCAATAAAGTTTGAGCAAAATCGGATAACTAATAAGAAAGTTATGAATTTTTAATGACATGAAAAAACTTGGAAAAATCACAAGACAAAATTGCAACTCACTCATGAGTCTGTGACGTCATGTCCTCACTATCCACTAATTATAATTGTCTTTATTTTGATAATATAAATGTCCTATTTTCTCCCTAAGAATCTTTTTTCTTCTCACCAGCATCCAAGTTAGATTAATAGTAATACGTTTTTGTGTGGATGCACAGATATAGAGTATTTTTTCCCAGCTAAATCATGAAAAATGTGAATTTTGATAAACAACTTATATAAAAATCAATAATTATGAATATACAATATTCAGAAAATACCATCAATTCTTCAAAGTTCATGAAAGATTTTGTGAAATATTATGCACGCAATATGAAACAAATCATATAACTTGGGCAGAAGCATGGGAAATCAAGTTTTGGGGATAAAAAGGGAAATTAATTGGATTAAACTATCAGAGGCGGCGCGCCAGGGGGGGGGGGGGTGGGAGCAAGGGGGCACAGTGCCTACCCCCATTTTTTTCAAGTACCCCAAAAGTGCCCCTTTTGACATAGGAAAAGTACCCCTTTTACTTTGATAAGTGCCCCTATTAATTTTTCAAAGTGCCCCTCTCCTTTCCATCTCTGATATACGCCCCTTTCATTTTGACACGTACCTCTTTACGAGTTTCCCAGTTTCCTTTGCAAACGGTGTCCATTTTCCATTCTCATAAGTGCCCTTTTTAATCTCTAGTAAGTGCCACTTTTCGGGTACGAGAAGCGACCCTTTTCGCTTTTTTTTTATTTTTTATGTTAAGAGTGCCCTTTCCCTTTTAATAACTACCTCCTTTTCACTCGGATAAGCGCACCTTATACTTTCACATGTGCCCCCTTTTCCTCTTTATAAGATGTAGTTTTCGCACTGCGACCTCACAAATCTTAATTTTTTTTCGACCATCACACCCAACTGCAAGGTATGATGCTTAAGCAATATTTTATACGATGTATACAGATAAACAAATATTGAAATCATCCCTGATAATGTAATCAAATTATAGGGGTATATACCAGTGCCTAAAAATTGGTATATTTTCGCTTTGAGATTTCCCTTTGTAGGTGCCCTTTTTTTTTTTTAGAAAGTGCCCTTTTTTGTTCCTCCCTCTTTGGAAGCCGCTCCGCCGCCTAGTCTGAGAACAACTAAAGTTATTTTTAGGGTAAGTTCTCCTTTAAAGCTGACCGTTTTTATTTCTTGGAGGAGCAGTGTGTATTTGAAATGGTTTGTCACATATATATATATATATATATGTTACACTGGAAAGAGAGAGATAATGATAAAGATGATAATGATGATACTAATAGTAGTAACAATAATCATAGTAATAATAATAATAATAAAATTAGTATAATAATAATTAAACATGATAATAATAACAGTATTGTTATTATATTTCCTTGTATAGCGTTTATGTTTGTCAGACTTGACACTCATGGCGCTCCACATTTGTTACCCTTGTTCTGGCATGGCTGACTTTAAAGATAAACTTTAGTACTGGTAATGCGATTGCATTGTAAAAGAAAAGGTGTGGAAAGGATGAGAAACAGTTGATCATGTAGCTTGTAAGTATTGGTGTGCACTGCAAGGTTCTGGAGTCATCAAAATCATAATAAATTTGACCGAGTCTTGGTAAAGTAACAAGCACTCACATAGAAAGCTATATATGGGACAACACACATGGTGTCGGGGCTAGTACTACCTTGATTTCCTTGTCTTTCTATGCTCATTACTCAGCCAGTATACATTTTCTTCCAAAATTGTTTGGCACATGTCATTTATTTGTAATCTTGAACATTCAGTGTAAGTTTCGTTTGATTCTGTGAGAATTATTTTTTTTTTTACCAGTACTGGAGTTTATCTTTAAGGCGCCAAAGCATTTCAAAGAATTAATTCCTGCCGAGTACGCATCTATCCCTACGTGGGTCGAGTTTGGCAAAGATCGATTAATTCATGTCTTGCCAAAGGTCATTGGTGCCGTGGCAAGACTCGAACGCGTACCACGTGATTCTCAGTGCGATGACGTATCCACTAGTACACCACGACACGTTCTAACGCTTTAAACACATTGTCAGTTGATATTTTTGCTTCAGTTTATCAATTTTCATAACAAAAATAATTTTGGATTCCATTCAAAACAACAGATCATTCCTTTTCCGTTGTCACATGCATATAATTATAAAAACAAACCAAAAGTCGAATTCAAATTTCTCTTGGTAACTAAAGCATAGATTATTTGATCAGGGGTGCTCGTTTACAAAACTGCCTATCATAACGAAACTAATAAACACGCTTGAATCGATTTGTTTTGATTTGATATGTTTTATTAAAAATGAAATAATAAAGCTACATTAAATGAAAAAAACGAAAACCATACATAATAACATACCAATAACATAATTACACAATGTACTAATATTCGCCTTTATGCTACATAATGGGTTAAAAACAGATGTGACAAGAAAAGACAAGTACATAATTTATTACACGTTATAACAGTAACTCTTTGTTTAATTATACTAATAATGTATTAGTTTTTTACAGCTCTTAACTTAATACGAGTTATATTTTCCTTCAACATTTAGATATCCGAAGTAAAGAAATCATAGGACAAATCGTTATAATGATCGAAGATGAAAAGGAAGTGCATAGATAAACCGCAATCCAACAAAACTAACAATGAATGTTCAAGATAACAAATAAATGACATGTACCAAACGATTTTGTTAAAAAGTGTATTGGGGCTTCGTAATAAGCATGGAAAGAAAATTAAATAAAGGTAAGTAGGCCCGACACTGTGTGCTTAACACAGGTCACTGTGCGAGAATGAAAGTTGTGGTTTTTTATTGAAGATGATTTCCATCAATTTTTTGGAAGTTTGTTTTTTATTTTACTGGTTCAAACAATCAATTTACTGCAGGAAAAACAATCAACAATGAGTAATTGGCATGTTATCTCGGCATTCTATTCCCATACCAGAGCTAAAGATTATCTTAAAAGGTAAAGACCAGTTTTGGAAACGCCCCAATTTAAAAAAAAATGAAATGGAAGCTCTTATTACCAATCATGCGAAAGAATATGTTTGACTAATACATGATGATAAAAATTTTGCCGGGAAACCGCCTTATAATTGATATATTTGGTAAATTAGTTTATCTATTGGTATGTAAGAGATAAACGCACGTGTCGCGCACGTGTGCGTAGTCACATATACATCTTTCTGTGTACAGTGCTTGTAACTTTACAAAGACTGGGCCAAATTTCTTATCATTTTGTTGATTTCAGACCCTTGCAGTACACTCTAATACTTATATGCTAGATGAATGACCTTCTGATCGATTCCACAACGTTTCTTTCACAATGCAATCACATGGCCATAACTGGTCTTTATATTTGACGACAAGTATTGAGTTACTGCATCATAGCCTGGCTATTGACAATTTGAAGGCTATTTAACATTTGCAGGCAATTTTTACAACATATTGCCCGCTATTCTAAAATACAATTCAGTACGAGGATATAATGGGAGGGGAAAACCGCGAAAAAATTAAATTAATGGGAATAAAATGCCAGTGAACAGTTGAAAAAAGAAAATAAGCAGTTCCTTCTTCAAGTTAGAAAGAACAATATTTTCTTATATAATGAACTTCACAGTGTGCCTCTGTTACAGTTCGAGAACTTTATCCTCCTTTTTCCGACAGTTCGGAAAAATATCACAAAACCAAATGTCTTCTGGAAAATATGACCCTTCAAATGCCCTTAAATTTGAAAAACGAGTTGAAATCGTTAAAGACTGGACCCTATACTGTTGCGATTCCAAAATGATTAAGGCTTAATTTTTTACGAAATTTTGGGTAACCAATTAGGAGACCCAAAGCACAGTGGGCCAGGGAGGAACTAAAGAGCTAAATATGTAAAATAGAAAGATTTATAAAATAACTCACATTTGCACTAAACTGTGAGTATGTAGGATTTTGCTGTTTGAAGGAGTAAATTTATACCCTTATTGTGCATACCGGAATTGAATATTTTACTGAGGTATTCTTACATGTAGTGTCTTTCAACTGGGCAAGAAAAAATAAATTAAAAAAATAAACACCAAAAATGATTTTTGGCGCACTTTAGTTTCTCTCTGGCCCACTGTGCGACAGTACGAAGTATAAGCCTTCCTAACGAGCGCATGTTTACATTTAGGCATTAGGTTTTTCTTTGACTTTGTCATCGTTTTTGCATCTGCAACAGATAACAACGATGACGATACTAAGGATTACGATAAGGAGGGTGACCACGGTGATAATGATTATGACTTTTCTTGCTATCTTCCATTCGATAGGTTCATCGTGGTCAGCGAAGTTTGTAGTTTCTTCTGGATCATCGGTTGCGGTGTCCATATACTCTGCAGGTAATGAGAGGTGGTAATATAACAATAACAACAATTCAATTTTTGATACCAAGAGTTTAGTTTCAAAACATGCTTTACTTGTTAAACTACGTTCTAAAAAAAGTTAGGGAGATTGTTACCGTTATATAAACAGGGATGCCAGGTAGAATTGATCAGAGGGCGTGAAAATCACCTAGAATGAGCTATTTTGTACACAAAAAAGTTTAAACTATGGTCTGAAATTAACTCGCCAGAGCCTGAAATCAGGCTATTGCCTGAAAACTGGAATCCTGTATAAATAGATATAACGACAACTAAATCAATAGATAGAAAAATAGATACCTGAATAACCACATTAATGAATTACTTAATATTTAAATAAATGAATAGTCAAATTATAAAGAATATAACATGATCGTATTTTAACAAATACCAGGCTATTAATGAAATCAGTATGCATAAGCCGATACCAGATCAGTAAGATATAAAACTGTTATATAACTTGCTTGATTTATGAGTGATTGTGTAAGGTATTTGCAAACGATATAAATTATTAATTCCATGTAATAGACCAGTTCACGGTTAGCACATCTCTGCAATGACCCCGAATATCCACAGATCTTCAAAACATGAAGAGGTCCCACTTTGTACATTTTGAAATAATCACTCCTACAGCGATGCAGGTGCTACATAAATAGCCTTTGTTTCCCCTTTTCAAAGAATATTTGCACCTGTAATTCTGCCTGTGTATCATGGAATGCACTGCTTGTTCATTAATGAATAATGATTACATAACTTTCATGAGCACGTATCCAGTATTTCGTCTCAGTGTATTATACAATTTGTTCTGCAATGACCTTTATCTGCTCATGCTCAGACTGCAACCGTGAACTGGCTTATTGTTAAAATTTATCTGACTGAATATGATGCTTATCCAATCCGATATTTCGTCGAAGATACAAGGGGTTGAGGCTCGTTAAGTTGCGAAGCGCTAAACCGCTGGGGGTATTTCTTTGTATTACCTTTTAATGCCATGTATGTGAATGGTAACTGCGCGAAACAAACGACGGAAGGATTTCATTGTGCAACACAATGGGCTTTGAAAAACAACCATTTCCGGTCTTGATTAGTTTCGATACAGCTCTTTAACACAGTAATCTTTTAATGGACACAGTTAAATAATCTTAAATCCGTTCGTATATATATATATATATATATATCCCATGATTAAAGATAAGTTTGGATGCAGGGAATGATAACAAAAAAAAAATCCACAGAAACCAACAAAACTTACACTGAATGTTCAAGACAACAAATAAATGACATGTACCAAACGATTGTGGTTGAAAATGTATTAGAAATGGGCATAGAAAGAGGAAATCAAGGTAAGTAGGTCCGACACCATTGAGCTTAACACAGGTCACTAAATGTACGGATGAGAGTTGTGTTTCTTATTGAAGATGATTTCCACCAAGTTTTGTGAGTTTTTAAATTTTATTTTAATGGTTAAAACAATCAATCTACAGTATAATAAACAACCCAGAATAAACTATAGCCATGATCTCTCGACATACCGTGGCCCTACCAGAGCTAAGAATTAGCTTAAAGTCCGTCTGAACTAGTTTGGCCGGGGGGTTGGACCTCCCTGCGAGGTCACTGACAGGTGGTTATCTCATCAAATCAGACCACAAATGCCTTCAAAGTGCATGGTTATTGCTCTTATTCTTATTTATGACATTTCTAGTGCTCTTTCAGGATTAAAAATTGCTCTGAAGGGTAATTTTAGACCCCCAAATGTGTGAAATTTAACCCTCCCTCCCCCCCCCCCCTCCCCCCAAGATCCAGTGAAAAACAAACAAAGGTCATTATGTCATTTAAATTGTTTGTTCTTTCAAATTTGACACTCAGTTTTTCATAATCTTACAAACAGATTTTGTTGGTGAAGCGCCCTCTGCAACAAATTTCAACTAATAGTTTCCCTTGTAATACAATTCGGTACAAGGAGATATGGCAAAAGGGTCATGCGATTTAGCTAACTCCTTATCTATATTGGGTCCATGGCCGCGGAAGAAATGTCACGGGAACACGAGTTGTACAATGAAGGACTTTCTTTAATATTAATTTAATAATACTGTGTTATTTTATAGCGCATTCGCGTCTGTTGACATTTCAATGCGCTTTACAACAAAGTATAACAAGATCATGAAAGGAAGATGAAACAGAAACATATGTAGAAAATAATGAAGTTCTTACAGAGAGAACAATTACAACGTTACTTGTCCTTAATACTATTTATATGCTAATATGAAAAGATGAGTTTTGAGTTTAGATATGAAAGTTTCTTTGTGTTAGTGATATGCGCTGTACGAGTAACGTTCATTATAAATAATCATTATTAATGCTAACCAATTTCGCATAATAGTCCTTCAAAATCATCTAGACAATAGCACAGATTGTCCAAGCAGGTACCTCCATTTTGGCATGAGTTCTGGCTACAGTCAACTGAAGATAAGGGATACATTGGAGGAGAAAAACAATTCAATTAAATAAAAAGGCTTAACTTCTCGTTACAGTCCACTGTACATTCGACTCCTGGGAATTAAACAGTGGATTCCTTTATTTTAAAGTCCATTTGCACTAATTTGGCCAGGAGGGATTAGACCTCCTTGCGGGGTAACTGGCAGGTGGTCATCTTATCACATCAGCTCTCAATTAACATATGAAAAGGGGGACCATGGAGGACCAATGGTCACCGATTAGGCATTGTTTGCTATATAGAGGGTGCAAGTAGTCATAAGTAGTGCAGTGGGGCTTTAAGGCATAAGTTCATTTCAAAATCAACTACAGATAATAGGCACAAAGAAAATAAAAGCAGGAATCCAAGAACACACAAAAAACAAAACATACGAGCTCTCGTTACATACAGACAGATAAAAGTTTGAGGCACATGGACATTTTTAAAAGGGAATGCAATGTAGTGGCATAAATTCTCTCTACATGTCACTTCAGATAACAGGCACACAGGAATTAAACAAGGGAATCTCCCCAGAAATGAAATTAACAAATAAATAAGGGTGCGAGTTCTCGCCACACTCCCATGCAGATCAAAGGCTTAATAGCAAACCCAATACCAACATAAGTTGAAAGGGATTTCTATTTTCCTAGCTCGCCCCTCAATTTGAGTTCATTACATGCCATGCTTTTATTCATATAGACATGTATAACTATTACAACTTCTGGGCCGTATCTAACCTAGGGGGTGTTTCACAAATATCCTAAGTTGAAATTATCTCTAAGTTGGACTTAACTATTATGGAAAGACGTTCGCATCTATGAAAATATTTGGGAAAAGATAATTCAAAAGGCATAAAATGTTGATTCAAATCATTCATATTTTCTATTATCAAATAGATGTTGGGCAATTCCACGGTAACGGAAGGACACTCAGACAAGATTTTTGAACTTCAGGTTCATACTAAGAACTGTTTTATTAGTATGTATTAAACTATGGGGAACAAAATGTGTTTCAGTCAAGTGAAAAGCTTCATCAACTTCACAAAGTTTGGATAAACACTAATTAACTGGAAAAACCATGTCCATTTTTATGTCCTTCCGTTACCGAGATAATTAATATGCACATTCTTAAAGTACTTAACTATAATGACAATTTTGGGGGGAGAATTAAAGGCACTTATATAGGTATTATATCTTTACTGTTTCACATCTTATACTAATAAAACAGTTCTTTTAGTATGAACCTGAAGTTCAAAAATCTTGTCTGAGTGTCCTTCCGTTACCGTGGAATTGCCCTGTTCTTGATGTGGATTTTATGAAAAGTCTAAAATACTTGAATTTTCACTTTTGAACACATTTTCTTTTAAGGCTTCAAATGGCTCTCCATAATTTTTAAGTTCAACTTAGAGTTAAGTTCGACTTAGGTTCTTTGTGAAACACCCCCTAGATATGTTACTGGGTAGCCTACCTTGACACGTGAGTCCGTTTCCGCCGGTGACGAAACCTGTAATACAGCTACAGTAGTATGCACCGGCCGTGTTCTTACATTCGCCATACTCCACGTCGCAAACGGAGCTTTCGCTTTTGCATTCGTTGATATCTTCACAGGTGTGTTCCCCAGTCCCTTGCATGTAGCCGGAGTCACAGACACATTTGGCGCCGGCGTCGCTAATAACACACTCGCCATTCTCACAATGGGAACAGTTTAAATGAGCTAAAAAAAATGATAATGCAGGAATATAGGGTTACATGTATTTTACCTGGCTCGATGGTAAACCAGTGGTCTCGTAAGCTGGACGTCTCGGGCTCTCGGCTTTAAAACCGAGTCCATGCGCTAGTGCCCTTTGGCAAGGCATTGATTCTCATAAGGGATTTTTAGATTTGCACGACGAGAACGTGGACTGCCACGTGTGACATCCTTTTAAGGCAATGCGACGTCCTTAAAAGGATGTCACACGTGGCAGTCCACGTTCTCGTCGTGCAAATCTAAAAGTCCCTATTACCTCGGAGAGGACTTATAGTCGGCAGTTCAATGGTCGCTTACATACGAGTATACACATGCTTTCTTAGCAGTCAGGTAAAAAAAAAAGTCAACCCATCAAATCAAGCTGACCTCCAAGAAATCACGTGTCCTATAACTCTAGGTAATACGATTAATACCTCGCCGAAGAACACACACGCATGAACATCTTTTTGAACCTGAGACCTCCAGGTTATGATACCTTTGAAATACCACTGAGCCATTTAGTAGCCAAGTATTTTTCATTCAACTGCGTAAGCTACTTGTTTGTTTTTTAATCGAATGGGAATGTCACCATCATGATACAATTCAATTTAATTAAATTCAATTTTATTATTTCCACAATTCCATAACAAATGATAATAAGAGGATAGATAGCAATGAGGTGAAGGTATAATTAAATTCAACACCAATTAAAGGTTTATTACAAATTATAAAAGATCGAAATAACAAAAACATATCAAAATATGGAGGTTCAAACTAAGGCCGAAGGCCTATCATAGGCTATATTTTTTCCATTTTTTCAATCGTTTTGTTAGAACATTACGTTGTCAATAGTGTAACACATTTAGTGTTGTATCTCTTTTTCGAATCACTCTCCAGGCTCTAAGAGGCTGTTCACACCGGCAGAGATAGCGCGCGCTAGACCGTGCTATCTCTGCGGTTTGGAAGGTACAACGTCGTTTCGGTCCGTCCAACAGCGAGCCACGGCGAGCCAAAACGGCGTGCCACTGGAGCACCTCTAGGGGGTGGTCCACGAGAGATAGCGCGGTTATAGCGCGCGCTGGAAAAAAGGGGTACTACGATAGACCGCGCTATCTCATAGCGGTGTGAACAGCCTCTAAGGGAGCAGGGGTCAGGACTCTACAACCGAGCGCAGGGCATCGGGAGAACCTCTTATGCCTCGGTCACACCTTCGCGTATTTGACTTGCGTATTACCGCGTATTTATGGCACGCCGTTTAACATTTATTCTTATTTCTTGATATCAAAAAATGATTTTCTGTTGTAAAGCATTCAAGAATTTGATTTCTTGTTATCAAGAAGTTGATATCAAGAAATAGGAATAAATGTTAAAACGGTTTGCCATAAATACGCTTCAATACGTAAGCCAAATACGCAAAGGGGTGACATGGGCATTAGTAAGGGTCACACAAAAAAATGATTTTATGAGGGCGGACGAGAAGGAGGGGGGAGGGGAGGAGAGAGGGGAGGAGAGGAGGGAGAGATAGAGATGGAGAGAGAGAAAAAAACTCAACATACCCATGCACGTGACTCCGTCATTAGCAAGGTCATATCCATCATAGCAGCTACACAGTGGGGTTCCGTCGATGTTCTCACAGACCCCATAAAGCTCATGGCAGGGATACGCGTCACCTTCGGCCTCACAGGGGTTAGCTGGTGGTCCCATGGTTGCTTTATTATCATAAATAATAAGAAGAAGAATAGGAAGAATAAGAATGATAATGAGTCAAATAAGGCGAAACAAAAATGATGTTATATTGCCCTTTGCGACCGACCCAAAAATCTTGAAATCTACAGTCGGCTTTTTGAACCGTTTTTTAGAAGAAAAAAATGTATTAAAGAATGTATGATAAATATCAGGCCAAAGAGGGAGGGAAAAATATTTCCGGGCAACACAACATATTTCTTTTATGCCTAATAAAGGAGTATACAGATAGCACATGGTACAAATGACCCCAAATATCCACAAATCTTTTACACATGGAGAAGTTCCACATTTCCGGGCAATACAACATATTTCTTTTAGGCCTAATAAGAGAGTTTACAGATAGCACATGGTACAAATGACCCCAAATATCCACAGATCTTTTACACATGGAGAAGTTCCACTTTGAACATCTTAGAATAATAACTGCCAAAGTCCTAGCTGTGCTTCATGAATACCTTTTGTTTGCCCTCTTGAAAAGAATACTTCCACCTGCGTATCATAGATCGTACCGTAGGTGCATAAATGAATTATGTTACATAACTTTCATGAGCGCATATCCAGCATCCATCTCTGTGGGTTTGACCATTTTGGTACAAATGACCTTTATCTGCCCATGCGCAGAATGTATCTGTAAACTCCCTTAAACTAGTAATATAACTTTTATTTTCATTATTATTATAATCATTATTAAAATTGATAACATTATTATTAGTAGTAATATTATTTTTAAGTGTAATATTATTTCATATTCTAAATTCTTATAATTATCATTGTTGTGATTATTATCATACCATTAGTAGTGGTAGTGGTAGCAGTATTATAATTATTTCTGTATTTTATTATTACTACTACTACCATAGTCCAGAATCTGTCCGATCCTTTATAATAGACCAGTTCACGGTTAGCACATTACTGCAATGACCCCGAATATCCACAGATCTTAAAAACATGAAGAGGTCCCACTTTGTACATTTTGAAATAATCACTCCTACAGCGATGGAGGTGCTACATAAATAGCCTTTGTTTCCCCTTTTCAAAGAATACTTCCACCTGTATATCATGGAGTGCATAAATGAATAATGATTACATAACTTTCATGAGCACGTTTCCAGTATTTCGTCTCCGTGTATTTCACAATTTGTTCTGCAATGACCTTTATCTGCTCATGCTCAGACTGCAACCGTGAACTGGCTTATTCCCTACACACTTGATTCAAGCCGTCGAAGATGGCGTTCGCCGGGCGTCCTAATTTAATTATCACGCCATCATCGGCTGGTAGCAAGTCAGTAGGGTGAGGTAGCGTTGGTGTGGTGGAGATCAACATTAAATAGGCCAGATTCTGGACTACTACTACTACGGCAATTAAATTTCTTCTACAAAGCGCCTTCTGAAAATTTACTGAAGCATTATCATTAAAACAATAAATATAGCGCGACATAAATAGCATAGATTACAAACAAAAGAACAATAAACATAAACTTCATACTTTTTCAATCCTACTTATTTTCTTGTGGGATAATAAAAGAACAACAACATATAACGCAGTATTTTAAAGATTTTGTTTTACTTACAGGTGTCTGTGACTTCGGTAGTGCTATTCCCAGTGGCAGGGGTGGTGGCCGCCTGACATTCATAAGCAAACATGGTGCTGACGCAAACGGTGCCCTCACCACAAGGCGAGGAAACGCAAGGATCAACTGGTAGATTAACAGAAATAATCGGGAATTATTTGGTTGTACAAAAGAAAGCTGCAGCGGTGAAAACAGCTTCGCCGTAAATATTTACACTATTTAAGCGAATTCTTGGTTTTCACATGGAACCAAAACACTACATGTAACCTTAACATCATTGTTTTATGTCAATTAATGCAGGGCAATGGTTTAAAACGTGTACTTAAAAACCGTCTTCATAAAAAACGACTTCATTAATAACCAATGCACCTCCTTCATAGTTCGAGTCCGTTAATCTTGCTATACAGCTTTTTCTCCACTCTGCATATAATTGGCAGATGAGTCATGACCCATATGGCATCAAGTCTTACATAACATAACATTCTTACTCTTAATATCTTTAGTAATGACGTCACGAGTCTGTCTAGTAATACGACTCCATGAACTACCTTCTTCACTGACGAACTCTTTCGTGTCCGCTACTCTTCCTAATAAGCTTTTATCAGCTCTTCAAATATTTATTATCATATATGACCCATATGGCTATTCATATAATATAACATGTTTGTTCTTACTATAGTTAATAATTACGTCACGAGTCTGAGTAGAGCGCTTTCGCAAACACGGCGGAAGGCAAAGACGACAGTAACGCGAGCGAAAAATCAATCTGCGCATGCGCGAACCAGAATTTTCTCCGTCTTGTTGATTTTCACGACCGTGCTCGGCCATACTAACGTTCGTTCCCTAAACACGACGGAAGAGCTTTATAGCCGTAATTCTCCCGTCGTGTTTGCGAAAGCCATGACTTACCATCGATGAAAACTTTCATGTCCATTATTCCTGCTAGGCTCTGCTGCGTCCCGCTCACGACGATGTTCTGCTCAAAGCCAACATTGGTCGGATTCCCCAGCTCGATGTGACCTATCCCGCCCCTAGTACTGTCGGCCCAATAGAACGTACCGTTGTATACCACTATGTGTTCTACATGTCCAATCGGGGTCGATATATTGGCGAGGGTACTACGAACATTCGTCGTTGTGTCGTATGTTTCGATACTCCCAAATCCGTTGATCCAATAGAGCCGGCTATCTGTGGGGAGAAATATTCAGAAATCGGTGTCGGAACTGGCATTCTTTTTCAAAAAAAAGGAGGGGACGTCTTGTTAATGACATACTTTAACAGTACTTTTTTGGTAATAGATCAGTCGTACATAACATCTGAGCAGCAACGAACCGATATGATAAATCAATTTATAACTATGCATACAGGGACAGCCGGTATGACCAGCTGTGAACGGTTGCATGTTGATTCAGTACAGATATTAATCTACATTTGCCACTCTCCATCCAGGTGTTAAATGGGTACCGGTAGAAAGGAATTCCTTGAATGCTGTGAGCGCCGAAATCGGCTGCCTAGCAGAGCTGGGGTAATAGTTGGAGCGCTTTGAGCACCATGCATGGTGGATGCGCTATATAAATATCCAATATTATTATTATTACAGGAACTAGCTGGCTATCGTTCGCAATTACACATTATGTAGAACTACCAACCGAAAAATATCTCGTTAAATGACGTACCTTGTGGATTTCTTGTAAAAGCTGTCACATTGGCGAGATTTGTATCGACGATGGCCGTTGATTCACTACCATCCACCTTCATTCTCACGATCCGATCGCCCTCAGCAAAATACAGAAATCTGGAAAGAGAAAATTCGAAATCATACTAACACCCATTAAAACCTTAAATGTTGTTCAGTGTAAAAATATTATTGGATAACGAAAATCTACATGAGGGCAATGTTATGTTTCCAACCAACGCGATAACAACAATATGACAAACGTGGGCTATTTATGCTCAATTCATAGGAACAAGATAATCATAATTACATGCGAAAAGCATTACTCAAATTGTGCACAAGATTGCCTTAAGTTGGTTGGACACAAAATAAGTAAGGCATTTTTGTATTAGTAGTAGAAGTAGTAGTCACTATATTAGTAGTAGTTGTAGTGGTACGAGTAGTAGTTGTAGTAGTAGTAGTAGTAGTAGTAGTAAAAGAATTATGTAGTATTATCAGTGGTAGCAGTAGTAGTATGAGTAGGAGTAGTAGTAGTATAAATCTGATTAGTTGAAGTAGCAGTAGGAGTAGTAGAAGTAATATTAGTTGTTGTTGTAATAGTAGTTGTATTAGTAGTAGTAGTAGTAGTAGTAGTAGTAGTAGTAGTAGTAGTAGTAGTAATAATAGTAGTAGTAGTAGTAGTAGTAATAGTAGTAGTAGAAGTAGTTGTAGTACGAGTAGTAGTAGTAGTAGTAGTAGTAGTAGTAGTAGTAGTAGTAGTAGTAGTATAAATCGTATTAGTTGAAGTAGTAGTAGGAGTAGTAGCAGCAGTAGGATATCAGTAGTATGAGGAGAACTAGTACGAGGGGCGTTCAAAAGGTTCATAGCTCGACGACTATAAAGCGCTTTGGACGGGGAAGTAATTATGTTTTATTTTCCCGATTACAGGTGACGAGATTTAAGTTCAGCAGCAGCCCACCTAGGTATTAGAGCAACCGTTCAAACTGGAGTACCTGGGACTTTAACAAAAAAAGGACTATGTTAATGGAAGTTGTTCAGGAACTTTCAGTGATCTATTTCATGGTGCTCAAGCTGTGAAGTAAGCAAGAACATTTTGGCATTATGTTGCCACCAACTCCTCATAGATACCCTTCAGCTTCATCTGAGCACCATGAAATGACTGCACGTTGCTGAACAACATATATCGACATAGTCATTATTTCAAAGTCCCAGGTACTCCACTTTGAATGGCTACTCTTATACCTAGGCTGGACGTTACTGAACATAATATATCGCGTCATCTATAACGGAAAACATGAAATTTTGATCAGACATAATTACGACACTGAATACCTGACCCTTCGAAGTCGGCCTATGAACTTATTGAACGCCCTTTGCCTTATCATTTACCCGTTTGAGCCATCTACGCTGAGTCCATAGATTTGTGCCGCCAAGGTAGCCAGTCTTATCTTGCCGGTTCCGTCGACTCGGATAGAATTCAGTAGACCGGAAACCTCCCCGAACCAGTAGATCCTCCGATCTACTTCATTGAAGGCGATACAAAAAGGCTCTGAAGAAAAAACAAACAAACAAAAACATAAGGTTTGATATTATTATAATAAAAGATAGTCAATTCTTCGGTAATGTTCGGGAAAGTGTTTCGAAAAAACAGTTATAAAGCAGTCAAGATCATAATCGTTGAAGGCGATTCAAAAGGCTCTGAACCTCCCCGAACCAGTAGATCCTCCGATCAACTTCATTGAAGACGATACAAAAAGGCTCTGAAGAAAAATCAAACAAACAAAAACATATGGGTTGGTATTACTATAATTAACGATAGTCATTTTCTTTCGGTAATGTTCGGAGAAAATGTTTCGAAAAAACAGTTATAAAGCAGTCAAGATCATAATTGAAGGCTCGAATAAACAAGCAAATATAAGGGGGTGATGATATCATAACAGTTATGATATTTATTTCTTCAATAACGTTCAATAACGTTCGGAGAAAGTGTTTCGAAGAAAAACATTGACAAAGCAGTAAAGATCACACTCCTTAAAGGCGGTACAAAAAAAAAAGCCGTGAAAAGAAAGAAAGAAAGAAAGAACACAACACAACCAAAACATAAAGGTTCATATTATGATAATAGTAATGGCAGATATTTCTTCGATAATGTACGGAGAAAGTATTTCGAAAAAATAAATCCAAAACAATATACATTGTATATCATGCATAAAACGATATAAAACGGCTCTGAATAAACAAACAAACCAAACAACAAACTAACAAGGAACAAAAACTACTTTTAAAATCTATTTTTGTATATTTATCTATATCTTATCTTATTTATACAGGGTAGCGTTGTGAGTAACACAACTGCTTTCAAAATACTAAATGACATTTTTCTGAGTGTAAACTTTTTTTTTTTACTCACACGGTATACATTACATATACATTAATTCAAATGGCAACGAATACACACATGCACATAGAGTTGCTTTGGTCTTGGACCTCATCAGAGTAAATCGCAAGAATGAACAAAGAGTCGTCATTGAATATCTCTCTCTCTCTCTCTCTCTCTATGTATATATCTTTCTAGTTTTTAAAACAAGGACCTTAACGACGGAGTCAAATACCCAACAATATGGTAATAAAGTACAAGTTACACAGCCTTCAAGAAAGTTCATTGTCGTTTGTATCTGTGTGCCATCATCTATGCATGTATAAGAATAATATTCAGTTATTCACAAGTCATGCATTGCTATTTATACTGGTATGTTCGTGTTTACTCTCATAGTCCGAGGGGGTGGGGGTCAAAGAGTCAATAAAATTCTAAATTCTAAAAATCCATAAAATGTTCTCTAATGCCAGTACAATAAAAACATGTTACGAAACTGCTGGTAGGTAGTTAAACATAGTAGATGGTTGGTGGTTTTAAACTTCAAGTATCCTTCCATTTTGCGGTGGTCTATCCAAGAAACCACAAAACCTTTTTGTTTTTGTTTTTGAATTAAAGATGGTCGTTTGCCAAACGACCATCTTTAATTTTAAAAACGAGGATAATAAAGAGTTGAAATAAACGAGCAAAGTGGTAAGAAAAGTCAAGGGTTTAAACTCGGTGGAAATTATCGGAAATAACGCCCTGTACTATAAATGACCATTTTCAGACATTTTAGCGTTGGGTTGTACGGTACTCGCCAGAAGCCCTTAAAGACCGTCACCACTACTGGGCCAGAAGGGATTAGACCACACAGAGAGCCATCGAGGTCACTGTGACAGGTGGCTATCTCATTAACTCAGCTCTCATTTAACATAAGAAAAAGAGGATCATGGGGGACCAACAGGCACCGATTGGGGAAGTTTCTATATAGAGGGAGCAAGTAGCTACAAGTATGGCAGTGTGCCTTTAAGTGCCAGACGCTCTTAATCAGTTCAAAAATCGAATTTAACAATTGTGTCGGACAATGAAGGCTGCAAGAAACGTTTATTTGAATCAAACATCATGTTAAAGGCCTGATAATACCTGGAAATTCATCATGCCGAACGGTATCAAAAAACCGAAAAACTCTCTTCTGAAGAACTAATTAGAACATGCAAGCCCGAACAATGATAATATATTGAATTAATATAATTTATTCATACCCATGATCAAAATTACCCAAACGTAAGCAAACTAATAAAGAAAACAAAAAACCTATGGCAAATTAGAACAAAGGGACAGAACTGATCCTTGGTGACCGCCAAAGCTCAATCTTGAAACAATTGCTGACAAGGGCTGCCATTAAACCACAACCTTTATCATATTCTTAAAAGTTAAATGAAACACATTATTTCCTCTTCCTCTTCTGTTTCTCATACATATAATAACCAAAGCCAATAATCCACTAATAACAAAAACTAATGAGTGAGCCAAAGCTCGATCTTGAAACAATTGCTAACAAGAGCCGCCACTAAACCATAACCCTTTATCATCCAAAGCCAATGACACACATAATTTCCTCTTCCTTTACTGTTTCTTATAATTATAATGTCGTGTCAAGTCTTCTCTTTTTACCACTCCAACGTACTCAAGACACGCTATGAAAAGCTCTTTGTTAAACTATTTTATGTTTTTAAGTGGTACAGATTAGTCATCTCAAACAATACAGACTACCAGCACCCTTCCACTGAACACGTAATCCCGCTTAATCCTAAGAAGAAAAGAGGACAAAGAGGACAATAAAGGTCGTAAATCAACTGTTAATCCATAGATCAGCCTGATAATAATGGTCCTCATTTGAATGCAAATGTGTGACCACTTACTTGGGTATAGGTACTACAGCCATGTAAAACCATGAAACGCTCACTTCACCTGATGATTATGAATCAAAGGCGCTGGGGAAGTTCAATCTACGCCTATTGTGCATTGTATCTAGCGTTGTGTGAATTTATATTTTGTCCTGCTATATATACATGTATGTTCATGTATAATATACCAAGGATTATTAGATGAAAATTGAATAAATTGATAAATTAGTCAATTAATAAGCTTTTAGATCAATTGAGCAGACATAGTTAATTCAAAAGTTTTTAGATGTATTAAGGCTTTAAGCAGATTTTTTTCCTCAAGTTTTAACTTTTTAGTGAAAAATAATTGGATGTGTCTTTTCTACAAAGAGAAATGTATTACAGTGGACTTTCACTACGGAATCAATTCCCTAAAGATATTTCCGCTCATCACTTAATTCTTTTAAGTAAAAGTTTTTTAAATATTTGATTAAGTCATAGTATTTCTCACTACGGTGTCTTTCTTCTCCTATTATTCATTCCGATTCCCCTTGATACATGTTGTATTTATTGGTACCACCACCCCACCATCAAGTGTTTATTGTATGATACCAAAAAAAAAGCATGATATTAATATTGTACTTATAAGCAGGGGATAATTAAACCTATATGGTTTGTGTCCCCCCCCCCCCCCTTGCAGAGTCAACTTTTGCTTTAATGATTTTATATTTGATTGTAATAGTATTTTACTTTTTATGAATCTGTGGAAATAAATGGAATTGAAGTAATGGATTGAAGGAACTGTGCATTGTACATGTATGTATAGTTAATACTGATCGATTTCTTTCGTCTTTTGTTCATGAAGAGGAACATATATCTATTAATTCACTTTCACGATCCTGCATTGGAAATTTGTTAATGTTTAGTTAGTTTATTGAACTTTCAATGAAATATAATGCGTCTTTATATGAACAACAGATGAAATAATCGAAACAATGTGTACCCGCGCTATCTTCTTGTCAGGATTATCTAAAACGTATTCTAATCTGTTTCCCCTCTCTTGTATTGTATGTACTTTGTATCATTGTGTATTGTCCTAATCTCTTATTTTTTAATCTATAATTCCATACCGACTCCATCTACACCAACTATGTAAGAAGGCTTTGTGTCGATCGATGTAAAACAGCGGTTTAATAATTTGGGGTGAATTTTGACAATTATCTTGATTTTTCACATGCATTTCGGTGATATTGTTTTGCTGAGACATGGTAACGTAACGTTGCATCAAAATTGAAGAAACAACCACTCATTAAGCGGACACAGGCACTCACGCACATCCACCCATGCACCCACGCACACTCACATTAATGCTCGAGTGATGCATACATAGTATAATGGCATCCATGCGGAAGCTGGAGTTACCCTAATGGAGAGGCAAGAGTGACAACTTGCCAAATATGCGTGCTAAAAACACAGGACTCCACTATTACTATCATCATCATTCAGTTACACCCACACACTCACCCACATATTCTGCAATATTAGTACTTACTGACGCCCGGAACGATGGTGACCGTAGAGGGCTCGCCGTCCAAAATATCGCCGCCGATCTTATGTGGGTCCCTCTGTCCCCATATCACCATGTTTGTCATAGGGTCATAGGTCATGACCCCGGGTCGCCGGATGTGTTCGAAGAGAGCCCGTGTGTAGAACTGATTGGTCAGGAGTTCGCCAGGTCGTATGTCGCTGTAGTAGATACCATAATTGATCTGGTCCACGAAGAATATCTTGTCCACAGCTGGAAAGAGAAGATATATTTAGAATTCATTAAAAAAAATCCCTCTTTCTATATCATTCTCTCCATAGAAACTCTTACTTCAAGAGACAATAATTGAATTTGAAAATAAATTCTACTCAATCGTCTTTGTTGTTATAAATACAACTATGTAATTAATGGAATGTGTATGATATATAACAATACATTTACAAATGAGTAAATAAAATGTATGCATGTATAGATGAGCTACTTAAATATATTCATCATGAACGCAGGTCAAGACTATCAAGCTTTATGATATCGAGTGTCCCACACCAGCCTCATCACATCACCTAGCTTTTGTGATTGTATTTTTTAAATGCATTTTATTAGATGATAATAATAATAATAATTATAGGTATTTCTATAGCGCCGTCTATCTAAAAATTCTATTCAGAGGCGCATTATTTATTACCCCGGCTTTAGCCTAGCTGCCATTACAGTACTCGGGTATTTCAAGGAATTAATTCCTGCCAGGTAAATGAAGATTAAAGAGAAGGTTGAGTTCTGGAAAGAGGTGAAGAATAATTTGTGAGCGTAATAATTATTATTATGCAAGTGTGGAAGATCATCAGATAAGACATGTTCCCTGAAAAACATGGCTCTTCAAATGCCTTTATATTCGAAATATGTCAGTAACATCGTAAAACTCGGGGGGGGGGTAGGATTTTTACGCCACGTGTTCGTGTAGTCCCATATACATCTTTCTGTGTACAGTGTTTGTAACTTTACCAAGACTTGGCCAAATTTCTTATCATTTTGATGATTCTAGAACCTTGGAATACACACAAATTCTTATATGCTAGATTATCAACCTTTTTAGTCAATTCCACACCATTTCTTCCACAATGCAATCGCATGACCAGAACTCAACTTCATCTTTAATGCCTTGCCAAAAGACATTATGCCGTGTCCGGGATCTAACCTCGACCTTTGAGTTTCAAGTCAAGTGCTTAAACCACTCGCTTACGACAATTCCATTCATTCGGTTATTATTTATTTACTTTTATTTATTTATTTATTCACCTATTGATTAAATCTCTTTGTTGTCTATTGAATTTATTGATAGACTATGTTAACTTGATGATTATACGAATTTTGTTTTGTCATAGTGCTCACTCTAATATGTTGTTCAGTACTTACCATAAGCGGAACAAAAGCAGAGAAAGACTAAAAAGACCAATGTCGCCATTTTGGTGTCACCTTTTATCTGAAAGTCAAAATAAATAACAATATTAAAGGCTAATGATATTTACATATATAATGATAGTATTAGTATCAATAACATTAATGATAATAACAATAACAATACTAATAATAACAGCAATAAAAGTAACAATTACAATGATGACGATAATATAGTAATTAAAATACAAATAATAATTATAATAATGTTATAAATAAAAATGATTACAAGGATGATGAGATGATAATTATAAAAATAATGTTAATAATAATAATATCTTACATAGAAGAACATGTACGAAGCGAAAATGAAAGCTATAACATAAATTTTAATTTTAAATGCGCGCACATAATATAATATATCTTATACATACAGTGATAATAGGAGGTATTACGTCACGATGAGAGCCCTGACACTTTCATGTCTGTCTTGCCCTATTGACGGGAAATTAAGCCAACCCTTGTAATACGTCCACTTGTTTGAATAACAGAAAATTACAGAAACAGTATGGCGACAGTTTGAAATAAACCGGACAAATGAAGAAAGAGTTATAAAAGTTTTGAAAATATAAGATAACTAAATCTATATATATGCGAAGCTTTATCAAATGAACAACGTGTACACTCTCCAGGAGTCCAGCATGCATGCAAGCGCGTAGCCAGGATTTCATTTTAGGGGGGGCGGTAGTGAGCACGCGAAGCGTGCGAATCACTTAAAGAGCGCGCGAAGCGCGCTCCCTAGGGGGGTGGGTGCAGGGAGGGGGGAGTTTCCCCTTTGAAAGAAGACGATTCGTTGAACCTTTCTCGACTCATAATCCTTGTCTGAATTCAGTCCCTCCCCTCTCTCGCGCGAAGCTTTGACGTTTCATTAAATTATTAGAGAAAGAAGACGATTCGTTGTACCTCTTTCGACTCTTAATCCTTATCTGTATTCAGTCCCTCCCCTCTCTCACGCGAAGCTTTGACGTTTCATTAAATTATTAGAGAAAGAAGACGATTCGTTGTACCTTTCTCGACTCTTAATCCTTGTCTGAATTCTGTTCCCCCCCCCCCCCTCTCACGCGAAGCTTTGACGTTTCATTAAATTATTAGAGAAAGAAGACCATTCGTTGTACCTTTCCCGACTCAAATTTCTTAATTTGAACTCAGTTTCCCCCTTCCCGCGCGAAGCGCGGAAGCTTTGACGATTCATTGTACCGTTCTCGACTCCTTTTCCCTTTTTCTTCCTACGTCCTCTTTCTTTTTTTTCCTTCTCTTTCTCTCTCTTTTTTTTTTGGCCGGCGTTTTGGGGGGGCGACCGCCCCCACCGCCCCCCCTGGCTACGCGCCTGCATGCATGCCATGTACAAAACATCCTTGTTTTCACGAAGTGACGGTAGTGAGGAAAATCGTCAAGCAAAGTGAATGCAATTTTTTTTCACTACCGTCACTTCGTGAAAACAGCGACGATTAAAGTATGAGTAATTTCTGTTATTCTCCAAATTGCCTTCTCTCGTTGGGCACTACTTGTAATATATTATGAATAGCATATTATTATCGGTCATGTAGAAGAAAAGAATGTATACATTTTGAAAATTAATATTTTAGTTATGTTGAGAGCTGAAACAAATGCGGAAGTTGTCTTGCACGACGTCACAGTGACATTGCTGATTCAGCCAATTTGAACTTTGAAGTACATGTACCGCGTATACATATTATGTACAGTATCACTACAACTTTGGAAAATCCGAAATTTGTTATTAAATTTTTTGTCCGATTTCATTCAAACTTTTACCAGCCTTCTTCTCTGATATTTATATTCTGCTTTGTGTTGCATTTTACAATCTGGCTAGTGGAATAAATGTTAAGGATTTTGTTGCGTCAACAATTATTTCATACATGTACATCCAAAAAACTAATTTCTTCATCTGAAAGTGAAACGGGAAGAGGGTCGTCACTTTCTTTGCTATTTATTTCAACTCCGATAAATCACTTTTAAACAACTAGATGTAGTGGTAACTGCAACGAATAAAATTTAGAGTAGGTTTGGGCCGTTGGGGTGTATATATTTCAATTTCAATTTCAATTTATTGTCCAATAATATTGGAAATTTGTTTTGCTCACATTTTACAAACGACCTCCAGTTTAATTTAAACAGCTTGCTTTACGGCGTCTTTTGGAGGAATCCTACCAAGTAAAAAGTATCAAAATAAGTTTACATATGCTTTGACATATAAATCCTTCAGAATATTGCTATACAGAAGTTTTCTTACCTTATTTATAAATTAGTTATTTTAAGTTCTCGTGTGAACGGGATGGCCCGGAAAGTTTACAAAAAATAACATTACCGAAATTAAGAAGAACCTTAAATTCAGGTAGCATTTTGATTGTATTTGCGGATAGAGAAAGGAACGAAGGTATTTAGAAAACGTTGAGTGCGACAGTTCATTGAAGTCGTACCACATGCAGAACGCATAAAAACACACCATGGAAAAAGAGCGGATGATTTCGATTTTCATAATTTGTTTTACTGCTAGAAAAGTAGAATGATAGAATCATTTTGGATTCGCATGCTTCATTCAGATTTTGACAGTGTATTAATTAAGTGACAAACACGTAACATCTGAAACACAGATATTAAAGAAATAAGATGAACCATATGGAAGGCCGAGAAATATTTTCTTCTAAAGGCAGCTTACCATGCTTACACAGTTACACACAAAGAACATGGACCACTCAAAGTGAACGCACAGCTATAGTCAGTTTGGAGTTTGCAATTTTATCTGTGCAAGTGACAATTAAATCCGTAACATGTCAAACCAATAAACGAGAGGGTAATAAGATGAAGCAAAAACTTACATTGAGTAAACAACAAATGACAGTAATATAATTATAAATCCACTTAACGCACGTGTTTCCTTCCAGTCGGTTATGTCCACACACACAAAAATATCCTTGAAAGCCACACCAAGAAGTAACTTCTTGCCGAAACAAATGACAGCTAGTGAACGCTGAGCTTGTCTTTACTCTCCCTTATCTATACACCAACTACTCGCTGTGAAATCGATAAAACGATAGGGGTGTTATGTAATCGGGTTTTGTTCGGGCCGCATATGGCTGGAGTAATGAGTCATGATTTTTAAGGGGGCTGATCGAGCGAATAAGAATTAATTGCGATATTTTCCTAAGCTCCACACAATAACACAACTTGGGAAAATCTTAATCTGCTATTAGAATAAACCGGATTTCGCAGTATATATATTTTCTAGATTTACCAATGGTAAAAGAGTCTGAATAATAATAATATTTAATTTTTATATAGCGCTTAATACAAATGTCTCTAAGCGCTTTACAAATATATTATTATATTCCAGCCGGGCGTTACTTGACGCTCATAAGCTGTTTGACCAACAATAACATAGTTACTACAGCCCCACAATTATTATTTTTTAAGGGGGGGGGGGGACATGAATATATCGTCATCACTTGATCATGAAGGTCCATGATTTGATAGACCTAACACAGTATCAATTGTTATCATTGTTGTTAGCAGGGTATGTGAGTTAACTCACATATCCCTGTTGTTAGTATTAATTTTGCTCCGCAGAACAACATTGGCTTGACCAAGCATTACATTCCCTGTAGACAGCTACGTACTCAAAAGTGGGGGAGCGAACCTTCGCTCATGCTGGGCCGTTATTTTGGAATACTCTCCCTCAATGGATTAAAAATAGCAGTTCTGGTGAAGTGTTAAAAAAAGGCCTTTCATGTCCGTACCTCTCCTATTGTACTATTTGTCTATTCATCATGTATTTCATCTTTTGCACAACGGTTGCGCCTTGAGCATTTGATTGTCAAGTCGGTTTGGCGCCTTACAAATCTGATGTATTATCATTATCATCATTTTTGTTGGGGTAAGGGGCAACAGCCTTAAGCGGACCCCCCCCCCACTCCTTCCAGTATAGGCTACGCCATTGATTATCACTGCGGCTTCCATATATAGCTACATGTATGAGTGTGCGAACTTTAACTATGCCATCCTCCTGTATGATAATCTCGTCCGCTTATGTAATACAATTTTTGTTTATCATTTCAACTTATCTAGTGACCGAGTTCATGCAAGAGAGTGCAATGAAAAGTCATAATGTTAACTGCGGTCCAATCTTCTTTTAACCATAAAATACTGGTACATGTTTACGAACAGCGGATGAAGGCTACATACCAGGCTTTCCCTGTATAATAAAAGTAATAATAGTAATAATAAAATAATAATAATGGTGCTAATAAATCGCTCTCCACTGAAGTATCTAAGCGCTATAAAAACAAAATACGATGATAGACAATGACATATTCAACAAAACAAGACTTTACAAATTAACCCTGCAAATTACAATGTACCCTTTTCCGTATCCCTGTTTTATCTAACTGTAATAAAAGTCATGATCATTAATTGTTCGCCAAGAGGTAGTCAAAATATGGGTCATAATAGTTTGTGGATATTTACATGTAGGTTTCTTAATGAACAACTTCATTGAATATTTCAATAGATTATCATTTCAAACGGCGTTGGTAGAATTATTGTTTATTTGTCTCTCACATTATTTTGCCCTCTGTTTCCAAGAAGTTACCAACTGGTAACTTCTTGCTCTTTCTCTATTCTCTTTCTCTCTCTCTCTCTCTCTCTCCCTCGCTCTCTCTCTCTCTCTCTCTCTCTCTGTTTGTCTGTCATCCAAATAAACAGTTTTCACGTGTTATGGCTCGTTCATATACGAAACGGTAAGCGGCGGCTTATTTGTTTCTTTGTTTGTGTCTTATTTTTCGTTTTAAACTTATCAATGAAAAGTTACTGCACGCAAAACGGTCATCATAAGCGTGTATTCGCCAAGCTCTATGTTATGAGAAGCAGTTCATCGTAAATAGGAAACCGCCGCATTTTACTTCGACTGTATAAACTGTTGTTCTCCCCTGTATTTCTTCGATTTGGTTACATAATCATGTCCTTGGCCCGAACCTCAAAGACCCCCAAAGAATCGAATGTAATTAAATAAATTCAGTGAATGCAGTTGGCTGTTTTCTCGGATCCGAGCATCGTATTCGTAAGGTATGTGTCACTGAAGGCATGTTTTCATGTTTTATTTAATATAACGACTTTCAAAAAGCACATTGAACGGCTGGGGGGGGGGGGGGTGTTGGTGGGGGGGGGGGGGGGGGGTTGGTGGAGGAGGGCAGGTGTAGACGTTGTAAATGTAATACAAGCTTGTCTTTTCAATCAAGCTTGTTTATAGCGCTTTCCGTTTATGCGAGCCAAGTCGAATTGATCATTTATTTATTTATTCATTTGTTATGTATTTAATTACACTTCTTGACTAGTAATCAGTGACTGAATTTTCACAAATCCATACAAAAACAAATAAACAATACTAGAATTAATAGGATTATTGCACAGAGTTATAATACAAAACAACTCAGTCTGGTATATAATCAAGTTATGTAGAGAAGAAATTGATAAATGAGTAGTAAATAGAGCAAGACATTTTTTATCACTCTTGTTAGTATTTTTCATCTTCTTGTAGGTACTATACAGGCTAGGTTCATAATCACTCGGCTGTTTTTTTATTATATTGTTAGAGCTAGAGAGACGAGCATTACTTCGTCACAATGATTTATTCAACTTTAACAGTTCAAACTACTTTTTATTATGTAATCGTTGGTTGAGAAAATATCACAGTTAAATAGGAATTCTAAATAGTACGCCCCCAAACAAAATTAGAAATTCTAATAACAAATAATAATAAAATTGTAATGATTGGTAATTGAATTATCGAATTCCATATCATCTTTTCGAGCAAACGTGTGAATTGAAAAGACACCTACAATCTACATTCGATTAATTTACATTTAATACATTTTCCATTAACCCAATACAGTACCTCACATAGCGTATACTACAGGTAGTACGGTATGTAGAAGAAAAAAAAGGTAAGAAGTTACCCTGATCTCCCTGATGGCCCATTAACGACCCCCAGTGTTATATACTCTGGCTCCTAATCATTAGGAGCCAGAGCATATATAACACTGAGTTTCTAGGGGGGGGGGGGGTATATTTATTCAGATGGTCATATCTCAGCCAATACTTAACATATTCAATTGATTTTCGACATTTTTCATGTTCTTTCGGAATATGAAGAAAAAAATTGAGAATTCTAAAAATAGATTTTTATGACGTCACAACTTCGGTATTCTATAGCTGAGCTACTATGCTAAGGCACTCAAGCATTCAAGGGATTGTTCCGACTATGTGTGTGGGTGAAGGTTGAGAATAATTGGTTTTGTGTTGCCGCTTGGGTCTACACCATGCACCAATTAGCCCGTCTAATGTATGTTCGAGTAATAATCTTCTTCTTCTCCCAGTAGATGGTACAGACCCACCCCCCCCCTCCCCCACTCAGTGTTATTTAGGGTACGCATATGCTCGTTCCCTCTTTTTGAAAGCACCCCCTATCTGAGGACTGCCAACATTTCCGAACCCCCCTTTCGCGGGCTTTTCGCGGGCTTTTCCTGCCTTGGAGACCCCCCCCCCCCCCCTAATCATGAAAAATGCTCAATGTACCCCCCTAAATTCGGAATAATTTTCCCAGGAGTCCAAAGAGACGAGAAAAAAAAAAAAACACCACCTTTTTAAAGAAATCTCCGGGTGAAAAGTTAATACACCCTTTTTTTTTACAATTCTCGGGCCGGACTTTGTCGCACGAAAAGTACCCCCTTTACCGGACATTTTGGTAACACGCATGGGGTCATTCCGACCCCGGAGTGGGGGGGGGGGGGTACAGACCACCGTAATAATTTCGTCTTCTTGAGCATTTGGTCTGATTGCTTCAGAAGTTTACTTTTGTGTGGTTTAATTATCCAAGCTAGGAAACTTCATGATTCTGGTTGTCCACCATACGTCATTTTATACCGTATAAAAAACAGAAAGATCGAGAGAGGAATAATGAATCAAGATGTTCTTATCGTCAACTGATGAATAGATGTAAATGTACATGCAGATCATTTTGTTGTACGTGTGAAACGTAGCTGTAAAAGCAATTGCAATTTAGAGTCACTTTGGAACATTGCCGTATGTTTGAAGTTCTTCTTCAAGTTTCTTCTTCTTCTTCTTGGTTTTCTCTAGGTCTGGAGAACTGCGGAGTTGTATCCTTCGCAGATTGTGTCAATAGAGAATAGGTAGACAATTAGATGCCAGTATAATGTTTGTATGTGTGTACACATGTACGCCTGTGCGGCGTTCGCGTTTTATTCGGTGCAAGAACGTTACAAATGGGCAAACTAAAAAGAAAAGATGAATCAACAACTTACATGAAGTATTAATACCAAGCTGGCAAACGTCCTTATTCTTCTGTAGTAGGAGTAAGTCCAAAGTGCACAAAGGTCTTGCAGGTCAAAACAGCCAGGAAGAGCGATATGCTCCGGGCACGCCTTAGATCTCGGGAAACGATTGCAACAGTGACTGGGAAATAGGAAATCCTTTGTGTCACGTGCTATAGCGTCCAGCATCATATATCTGATTGCATCTGACCATCTGACCATGGACCCTACTACGAAGTAGGGTCCATGATCTGACCGATCGAAACAATGGCCGTTCGACCAGAGAGTATCCAATCACCTCTTCGTATAAGTACGTCAACAACTCAACGTGATATGTAACACCCATAATAAAATAGTGTTTGTCAATGATTGAAAGAAC